TTACATTTCCGTGAATGTAGTATATCAAGCACAGTATGAATAGAATATCATTGTAATATAACAGTATTTTAACCGAAAACTATTAAAAAAACGAGTAACATCTCTTGAACATCGGAAGGTTAGGTAAAATCTTTTGTTTTCGTCATGTATTTTATCCTATTTTACATTGAAATACATAACGTTTCAGCAAAACTACTACTGTATTTATTTCTGAGAATATATTCATTCAGGTGCAGTTTAGGTAAAATATACATGTGATGTAACATTTTTTTAACTGAAAACGATTAGAAAAACACGTACCCTCTAGCCCTGTTCAAGGAGAAGACTGGGAGGAGCTGTTTGGTGCTGAAGACGATAACAAGGAAAATGATTTTGATGGATTTTAATGAAAATATTCAGAAATATGATATCGTAGTATTTATTCAAGTGAATTAGGATAGAATATTATTGTAATACAACAGCTGTGACGATGTGGAGGAGGCGGAGGGATAGAGCAGGGAGGAGTGGTGACTGGCGGGATCAGGGACGAGTGGAGATGCCAGCCAGTACATTACGGGTGTACAGTATTAATTGTTTTTATAGCTCTTTTTGCATTTTAATATTAAATACTGTACATTACGTTTCAACAAAACTACTATTTATTTCTGAGAATATGGAAATGTAATATTTTTGCTGAAATGACGTACATATTACAGTGGAAAGTGGGATAAAATTGTGACGAAAACAATGACTTTCGCTTTCTTTCGTTCAAAAGATGTTACCGTAATCACTTTTCGAATGGTTTTCAGTTGTGGGATTATGAGGCTAATGATAGGATAGAATATTATTGTAATACAGTACAACAGTTTTTTAACTGAAAACCATTCAAAAAGCGATTACGGTAAAATCTTTTGAACAACGAAAGAAAGCGAAAGTTGTGGGGTTATGAGATATTGGTTCACACTCAGGATGGGATGGAGAAAGGAAACTCACAATGTGCTCACTGTATACATATTGTATTGGATGTACAATGCAGCTTGTTGCTGGGTAGGCAGCATGGTAACAAGCGTTGAGTAGGAGAGAGCTGGTTGGTGAGGGTGCCCAGAGAAGCACTCGGCTTGAGGGACGCCGAGGTCGCCGGCGGGAGCGGGAGCCGCCAGGCTGGCGCGGAGGATGAGGTGTTGCTTGCTGGTGGCACTGGGTAGAAAGAGAGCGGTCACAGTGGTGTCAGGCCTTATAAGGCAGGGGTAGGCGTGGGTAGATAGTTGACCCCCGCTCCGTGGGCAGCGCTGGAGGCATAGGCTGGGGAATTCGAGAAGGTTCGGTGCTTGTAGGGGAGGAATCCACTACAAAGTCATTGTTTTCGTCATGATTTTATCCCACTTTCCAATGTAATATGTATGTCATTTCAGCCAAAATATTACATTCCATATTTATTTCTGAGAATATATTCATTCAATCACAGTTAAGGTAAAATATACTTGTGATGTAATATTTTAATGAAAATACGGTATCGTAGTTTTCTTTTGTTTCAAATTTAATTAACAAAGATTGATGTTTCAAATGTAATGAACAAAAATTTATGTACAGTATCTATAAATAAACTTAAAAAATGAATACTTTATGTTTTACATCGTCCTGTGCATACCATACCATGCATTTGGCTACTTTGGGCTTGCTATGATGACGCAAGAGATCTGCCCTGGCAACTGTACCGACACTCACAGCTGGTGGTGCGTTGTTTCCATTGTTTACTGGTAGTTACTGGTAAATATTTTTCAACCTAACAAAACTATTACCCGTTTAGAGGTCGACCCCCAATTTTTTGCCAAATAATTTGGTCTTAAAAACTCGAACTACACACAGGTATATACGGTAAATAAGGACATGGGGGGCCAGGGTTTTTTTTAGGGGGGAGCAAAAGTACACAGATTTTTAACATTCACGGGTATCTCTGTTACCTAATCCCCCGCGTATGTTAAGGGCCGACTGTACTCTACAATATTGCATATGAATGACAGTCATATTAGAATAAGTGAGAGGCGGTGAGGCAGCACTGGGGGACACGACCCTTGCATGGAGAAACCTGATCGTGTGGTCACCTCCTGTTATAATTGTCTTACAGATATGAATTTTATGTCATATGATCCTGAATAAATTGCATCATTAATGACAGTCGTTTGATTAATAGTAGTGTTGATCATATTTTGAGATGCAATGTGTGCGTGCGTGCTGGAACATTAGTCATTTCACTCTATGCTGTTTGTATTGCTGTCATAAAAAAAGTAGAGTAAAGTTTAAAACACAGAGTATAACTTCCCCTAATACTGCCAGAAATAATTTGTAATTTCATAATGCTACTGAAAGAGGAATACATGTACTGTACAATATATGAACTGCAAGACTCAAAACAACACACATGCCAGTCAGCTGTGGTCTACCAGAGATGGTAATGCTTGTTGCCATTGTTACACATAATGAAACTATAAAAGTTGTGCTGAAAATTATTTCAATACTCAAATGTGACTGGGAAATAAAGAAAATATAATGTAAAACTAAAATAAGAAATATGAAGAACATGGGTGTGTATTCTGTGTGGGAGGTGATCGTAAGTGTGGAAGCAGTGAGCAGTTTGTCAATAGTGCATCTGGCGACTTGGCTGGTTAGGCCTATTTCAGTATAAAAGCTCACCACACCACCACCTCTGCTGTAAGTTTACGTTATCCTCTTTGTCACTGATGATCAAGTTGATTTCAGCAGAGAATATTTAGGAAAAGTAATGAAAGTGTAAAAAAGCTAAAATTATACCAAATAATGCACACACAGCATTGCAGATTATCTGGGATGTGCTGCCTCTATCAACCGAACCTTAGCAACTGTTGAGGCCATGAGAGGTGCTGGTGGAAGTATCTCCCTTAGCCATAAGCTCCTACACTCACTGCATCGTTCTTTTTTATTTATTTATTTTTTTCCTAAGCCAAGCGCGTGAAGTGGAATGCGCATAAGATGTAACACAACTGTGTGTGTGTACACAGGGTGGTGTGATGTGTTTTGTGCAGCATTATGTTAGTATTATGGTGCAAGCACTTCTTGCATCTTCTCCCCTTCAGCTACCACTGTGGCTAATCCTCATGGTGAATAGGGTGGCAACTTTGTATAAGTCCTCCCCTGCTAGTTCATAGCCTCTTCACCATCAAGACTCCTGCTGTGCCTCCTTGTGACAACACATGGTAACTGGGTGCCTCGTGGGCCCAGGCTAGACCAGTAGGGATCTCGGAGTGGCAATGGTCCCCAGAGGGACGGCGCATAGGCCCACTGGCATGTGGACACGTCCTGGCGCCTACCAACCACTGCCCCGCTGTCTTGCGGATTAACCTTGATATTTATAGGGCTATGGGAATTTACAAGAAATCTGCGGTGAAGCCCCTCAACAGGCAGACACGCTTACAGAGCTCCAGTAAGACCCCAACGGCGGAAGAGGTGACCAACACAGGAACCCAACAACTACACAGTTGAATAATGGCAATGCAGGATGGACAGTCTACTAAGCCAAAACACAACAAACTAGGCTATCGGCAGTTCATTGCAATTCTCCCTCTCCCCAGTCGTTGCAAGACTTTCACCACTGTGTTAGGAAAAGAGAGAGCCAAGATGTGTGGTTGCTGCCTGCGCTCCTGCCTCACCCCATAAATTAACTCACGCGAATCCATCATCCAGCTCATCATACTTTTCATCATCATCATCAAAACCCCGATATCCACAAAAGTTTTATGGCGACAGACAAGTGGCAACTGGGATAAGCACAGATGACTGCTGGGAATTTCTAGTCATAACTGCACATGGGTGGCATAGATAAGATGGCCGTTTATGCACTGGGATGTAGACAGCAGTGCAATCCGGTCCTGTCTGTGTGACTTAGCCGCTCTGCTCACCCCAGAGTGGATAGAAATGGTGCCCTAAACATAGCCTGCTTAAAAAAACAATCTGACTGGGCAGCCTCACCCAGTAAGGTCATCCTAATGTGGTCAAAAACATGACCACAGATCAAAGCAAAAACAAATTATACAACCTTTTATTGTCACTGCATGGAATGTCAGGACCCTTCTGGATACTGGCACAAATGAGCGTCCTGAAAGAAAACCGCTCATGTGGCAAAAGAGCTGGCTAGGTATAGCAACATTTGTGGACGGCCCTACCACGTGGCGGCACTAATGTTTGTTCTTAACATGAGTGCCACCACCCCATGCGCGCTACAGTACCATGCTTTGTTCCATGTTGATCACAAATGTCTAGCTCAATGAATGTCGGTCAGTATTGATGTTTTTTTTTTTTTTATAACCTTACACTGAGAGGATATCATTAGTGTTCACATTGTATTCTGTTTTGGTGACTGTGAAGTGAATTTTGCTGTCTCTCTTGTTGTGAACATGATATGAGCAGTGTTGGCTGCTATCATCATTTTAACACTATCACCGTTTTCTCTGTTTTTGTGACTGAAGTGAGCATTGTTCTTAATGATGTGGTGAGTGTTGTTTAATTGTTTTATGCATATCATTAGTGTAGGAATTTTTTTCAGTGATACATGTGGGTGTTGGACTGACTGGGAACGTATCCCATTTAACCCCTTGGTTATAATGATCCCCAATCTACGATATTTCACATAGCTATGGGTTTTTCTGGAACTTACCACATTGTAAATAGGGGGATACCTGTACCTTAAGTCAGCACTGAGCCATGAACACAGGTAACCATCAGACCACAAACAAAACATGTTTAAAGTTCACTGTATTTTTTCCTCCAGTAGTACCCAAAGAGAAGAGAACATCTAGGATAAAAAAAAAAGACTTTTCATAAAACCAGTTATTTGAGACTTTGAGTTAAGGGATACTGTACTTTACAACAGGTTCAAGATTAATGAAGTCTTTTGTAAATTTTCAGCTTATTTATGATATAAGCCAATCTGTATATTACATTTGATGTAAATTTTATGATTATATGCTGTATTAAATTTGATATTTTAGGTTCAACAAGTGCTCCCATCTCCACTACTAACAGTAAAGTTGACTACCACTGCCTTCTTTACTCTCAAACCTGGTGCTGTTGACGCTGTGCACATAAGCATTGCGACACTTGTTCCTGGATTGACTGTTGATGAAGATAAAACAGTGACAGTCTACAGGTCATGGATGTTTAGAACTTCTGAAGTACAAAGTGGAGATATTCATGGTGCAGAATGGTTCCCAATTATGCTTTATACAGGTAAGGAGTTGTTTTAACTATGGATTATGTGTACAGTGTCAGGGGCAGAACCAAGAATATCAAAATGGGGTCCCAAGAAGTTGTGGATGGGGGAACATGGCGAGCACTATGAGCCCACCCAGCTGGGGCGGGGATTGCTGTAAGCCCCCCCCTCACCCTCACTGGAAATTTGACCAATATCATGGTTATTTTGAGGTCTTGTGCACATGATATTAGGAGATATTCTGAGGTCAATAGTAATTACTTCTTAAAATAAAAAAAATGCCTGAATACAATACTGCATTAAAGAAAAAGTATTGTAATTTTTTTATGAAAGGGGGAGTCTGGACACCAAGGAGGCCCCCCCCGGATTCGCCCTTGAATAAACGATATTGTGTCGAGTTACCCTACATAAGAACTTAAGAAAATATGGAGTCTGCAATAGGCCAGTTGGCCTGTGCATGGCAGCTCCTGTCGAGAGTTACAACCACTCTCTACCGTCCATGAATCTTTCTACCCTCCTTTTAAAACTTTCCAGTGTCCCAGCACTTACTACAAAGTTGCTAAGCTTGTTCCACTCATCTACCACCCTATTTGTGAACCAGTTCCTTCCTATCTCCCTCCTAAGCATAAACTTATCCATCTTAAATCCGTTGCTACAAGTCCTATCCTGCTCGGATATTATACGAACTTTATCTAAATCTCCTTTATTGATTCCTTTCACCCACTTAAATATTTCTGTCATATCTTCCCGTACTCTTCGCCTTTCTAGGGAATGCAAGTTTAGTTTCTTTAATCTATCTTGATAGGGAAGGTTTCTAAGTCCCGGAATCACTTTCATCATTCTTTGCTGCACTGACTCCAGTGAATTGTTATCCATTCTATAATAAGGGCACCAGAACTCAACATAATTGAGGTGCAGCCTGACTAGCGCAAGATATAATTGCAATACAGTCGGGTCGGGATATATTGCGACTTTATATATAAAAAAATTTATATCACGGCTACCAAATTTATCAAAATTTTCCAATATACAGTGGGGTATGCTATAACGAATCTAATTGGTTCTAGAACCTTGTTTGTTATAGCATTCGTTCGTTATAGGATTAATCCGTTCCAGGCCCCCAAATACAACCACTTAACACTGAAAAATATAATATAAAATTGTAAAAATTGTAAAAAAGTGCATAAATATGCATCTAAACCCCTGAAATAAAGAATATCATTAATATTTGTAATAAAAAAACAAAAAAAAAAAAAAAAAAAATTTAAATAATGTTCGTTGTAGGAGTTTCGTTCGTTATAGCATTCTCAATTTTATAGGTAAAACCGTTCTTTATAGGAATATTCATCGTAGGATCCGTTCGTTATAGCATACCCCACTGTATAGTGATAATTTTTTTTTATTTCACAAGGGAAATCGGGCAGGAAATATTTCAAATGTACCGCCATGGCAAACAAATGTGATGTTAGTTATGGCATCTTTGATGGTGTGGCTCTTCCAAAATGTTGCTGCAGTTATATTGTTGTCCTTGTTCATAGCTTCAGCCATTTGCCTCATGGTATTCTTGAGATAATACCTCTTGAACAAGGCAATACCTGTACCACCTTGATCTAGTGGCTGAATAAGTGAAGTCACGTTTGGAGGGAAGGTCAAGTTTATGTCCTTATTCACACTGCACAGGTGTTTGGAGTGGCTAAATGTGTTGTCCAAGAGAACCAAGCCCTTGTTGCTAAGGTTCAATTTTGTTTTAACATTTTCGATGAATGGGGTGGCATGGCTGATGTACCACTCGTCAAATATATCAGAAGTCATCCACACCTTCTTGTTTGATCGCCAAATTACAGGAAGTTTTGGGATGTGCACATTTTTCAAGGCACGGGGTCTAGCCGAGTGGTGGATGGCGAGTGGCTTCATTCGTGCGGTGCCTGATGCATTTGCCATGAGGAAAATCGTCAGTCAATCCTTCCTGACCTTAAACCTTGGTGCTTTTTCTTCACTCTTCATTAGATAGGTTTTCTTGGGCATTCTTTTCCAATACAGTCCAGTTTCATCACAATTCCACACTTGGCAAGGAGACTAACCATTTTCTAACACTATATTCTTCATAACTTTCTTCATATCCTCAGCTGCCTCCACGTCGGCCTCACATTCCGTAGCCTCGTCCTTTTGATAAATTTGTACAGCCAGCCTGTACTTGCTGTGAACTTGCTATCTTTGATGGACTTCCCTTCCTTTTTAAGTATCCGAGACTGTATTTCGTAGGCTTGGTTTTGCAGCATTGAGCCAGTGAGAAGAAGTTTTTGGCGCTGCATGTCTTCTACCCATAACTTAAGTACTTCTTCCATCTCACCATACATGGCACTCTTCAGGTGGAGTTTACCTTTGGCAACATCTGGTGAAGCATAGGCTGCTCTAATATTCTTCTCGTTGAGCTTTATAGTGTGGACAGAGCTCTCCGATAGTCTAAATTAACGTCCCACACTTGAAGCACCATTTCCTCTCTGCAGTGCTTCCAGCACCTTGATTTTCTGCTCCATTGTAATTGCTTGCGTTGATTTCATGGTCTTTGGGGTAGTTAATGATGTAGTAGCTGGCCTCTTGGACATAGTGGTGATGGTTAATACATGTGGTAGAAGGAGATAGTGTCACACAATATGTCCGTTCACTAGAGCGTCAGTGAGAGAACTGAGGGTGCGTGAGGGTAGCGGGCAGCCATTTAGTGTGCCCAGAGACACATCTGGTGGGAAACATTAGGCGCGAAATTTAATATATGATGCGCCTTGATTGACTCGTGCTAAATAGGAAGGATTTGCTTTAAATTAAAACATTGTCCTTAATTGTGGGTGTCTCTTTAAGTTGATTCGCGTTAAATCAACGTTTGACTGTATTTGTGAGAGGATTTTTCCTTTTTTATTTATTTGTATTTCTTTTGTGTGTGTGTGTGTAATAATAATAATAATAATAATAAACTGTTTATTGAAAAAGTTTGCAGCCCGAAGGCTGAAAATATACATTGGACATAAATGACTTATTACATACATTGGTGGTTTAACAAAAGCCTTCATTAGAGAAAGGTGAAGGAACATATACAGTGAACATACAGATTAATGTTTACACACGTAGATCATGTGAGCTGAGGTGTTGAACAGCAGACACGTAGTGTAGTAACTCCCTCACAGATGGCGTTATGCGGGGCATCACGTGGAGTACTAGTTCCCTCACAGGTGGTGTTATGAAGGGCTTGACGTGGTGTAGTAGTTCCCTCACAGATGGTGTATGAAGGGCCTGATGATGTAGTAATTCCCTCACAGATGGTGTTATGAGGGGTGTGATGTGGTGTAGTAATTCCCTCACAGATGGTGTTATGAGGGGCCTAATGCGGTGTAGTAATTCCCTCACAGGTGGTGTTGTGAGGGGCCTGATGTGGTGTAGTAATTCCCTCACAGATGGTGTTATGAGGGGCATCACATGGCGTAGTAATTCCCTCACAGATGGTGTTATGAGGGGCATCACATGGCGTAGTAATTCCCTCGCAGATGGTGTTATGAGGAACTTCACATGATGCTGTAGCAACTCATTCAATACGTGGTGTCGTGCATAATGGGGACACCACGTGGTCTGTTGTCACAGGACTTCACTCACTCAAGTGGGTGAGGTATGGTCCCAGGCCTCTCTATCGTGGAGTCTCAGAGGAATTATCACTGGCTACCTGGGACCTCACTGTGTGAAGGTTAGCTTGGCTCAGACTCAACTGCCGAGTTGTTTTTCACTGACTTAAGCACTGTTCACCACTATTCATCACTGGTTCCATTCCTTTCCCAAATGAAATAGTAACTTCTGGCGAGAACTTGTTGATATTCCGGTGGGGAGGAGGGTTCAGGGGAGGGAGTTGGTATGGGCCAACATAACAGTTGACGTGGCTGCTGCTGAGCAGCGCCAGGTGCGTCTGATCCGTCTTGACCCGTTGGTGGTCAAGGATGAAGTGTGTGTGTGTGTCAACACACACACACCTTTCTCTAATGAAGGCTTTTGTTAAACCACCAATGTATGTATTAAGTCATTTATGTCCAATGTATATTTTCAGCCTTCGAGCTGCAAACTTTTTCAATAAACCGTTTATTATTATTATTTATTATTATTACACATTTACAATACAGTACAGGTAAAGGAAATTATTGTCTCTAGAACAAATGGCTCCCTGTCCCAGCTGCAAAAATGCTGGCAACTTTAAAACTACCCACAGGCATTCTTGGGCACATCCAGGGTGTCATCTGCGAATAACGGAGAACCGCGAAGTAAAAATCTGCGAACTTGGAGGGCATACTGTAGCAGATTTTTTAATTATGCTTATTACTGTCAGTAGTTTCTATGGCAGTAGGCGCAAATAAGATTTACGTTTATAGTCTCATGATGACATAACACTAGGCATACACAGTATATCAGCATCTATCTGGCATGTTTGATCGCAAATTTGCCCAATCCACAACTTTGTTGAGGTTTAACACATTCCTTAACTGAGGTATTCATGTAACTACACTAACTAGTCACTATAAATACGATTACAAATGTTGTACAATATTTGTGATTTGCTTTTGATCCATTATTTAATTTTTTTGTTTTTCTAGGTAGAGAATTAATCCATTATGCAGTTGTTGAATGGCTTCAAGACTCATTTGGTTGTTACATTACCAAATATGGGATGCGACAGAGTGACATAATGTGGATGGCGGGAGTTTGGAGTGGACGGCCTTGCCCCCTAAGTGTTCACCAAAAAGAAGGTAATGAAATGTTGAATTTTACTGTGATATAATTAGTAGCCCCTGTTAACCCAATATGATTAAGAATGGGAAACAAAAATCATTTGCAATGGGAATTACACATTTAGTCCCTCATGTTTTAACAATTAATGGGGTGCTTTTAAACCAGTGGTTCTTAACCTTTTTAGGGTCGCGCCCCCTATAGCAGTTGGTCCTCATCTCCACCCCCCCCCCCCTCCTTCATATAAAATTCTAAAACAATTTCCTCTTGAATTAAATAGGAAAATTGAGAAATTTGTTTTTCATTCGTTACTTTAATAACTTTAATTATTCATGAGAGTCTGTATAAGCAACCGTCGCAGTGTGTTGACAAATATTCTTATGTGAATTATCGTACAGGTACTGGAGCCTCAAAATTATCATTTCTTCATCAAATTATCGTACACGTACCGACATTATTACTACCTTAATTCAGTCGCTTTTAGTGGAATTTTACATTTTGGTTGACATACTTACCATTTACAATACTTTGAAGTACCTGTGGGGAGCGAAACACACACACACTGTCAAGCCAGATGCCCAGCTGACTGGAAGACCTCTTATGTATCACCAGTGCCCAAGTCAACCAGCCCACAATCCTTAAATCAGCTACGATTCATTGCAGTCACCCCAATACCCAGCTTAATCTGTGAAAGTTTTGTGTTCGACTGGGCTTATGCTGATATTGCAGGAGTCGTAGATCCTCAGCAATTTGGCAATATGAAAACTTCCTCCACCACTCACTGTCTTGTCAGCTTTCTCGATTACATATACCGCCATCTCGAGAAACGAAAAACGTCTATAGCTGTCGCCTTCATTGATTTCACTGAAGCTTTCGACCTAGTCGACCACAATTTAATCATCAACAAAGCTATTGACCTCGGGCTTCGGAGAAGTTTTATACCATGGCTTACAGACTTCCTCAGTGACCGACACCAAGCTGTACGCTTCCGAGGGGCTGTCTCCACCTTTCAGTCACTCACCTGTGGTGTCCCCCAAGGCACCAAGATGGGACCACTCTGCTTCCTTATGCTTATCAATGATGCCCTAAGAGAAACCCCTGCTCGATGGAAATATGTCGACGACTCCACCATTGGGATCAGCGTCAACAATTCTGCTCCCGACTATACCGCCCTTCAGGATTTATTGAACAGTCTCCAAAACTGGGCCACCAACAACCACGTCACCATCAACCATACCAAGACCATGGTTATGCACATCAACCTCTCCTCCGACATTGTCCCACCCCCTTCCATTACTTTAGGTTCGAACACACTCCAGGTTGTAGATTCCACGAAGCTCCTCGGCGTCACCATAGACAACAAACTAAATTGGAAACCACACGTCAGTGAGGTTGTCAAATCCTCCAGTTTCCGTCTCCACCTCCTCCGCCGACTCAAGTTCCTAGGAGTTCCTGCACCCGAGCTCCTCAGTGTTTACTCAACATTCATACTTCCCAAGCTCACCTATGCCTCCCCTACTTGGTCTTCCTCCCTAAATGCCACACAACGTAAACACCTAGAAAAAGTGCAGAAGAGGGCATGCAAGATTGTTCTCTCCCCTTCCTACTCCACATATCAAGAAACGCTCAACACACTGACCCTTTCGACTCTCACTGACCATCACCACTACCTCATCTGCAAATTTGGTAAGAAGCTTCTGCACCATCCTCCACACCAGCTCCTACTACCACCTGAGATCCCTAGCCCGAGAATTGCTGTTCAACACCACAACCGCATCCAGCCCATATGTGCACGAACTTATTGCTATAAGAACAGCCCAGTCCCAACCATTGTAAAAATTATCAATAACTTGTAATAAACCAGTGTATTCACTCCCAGTTAATACTCCTTCTTGCACTGTCACTATGCTGAAATGCCCTGTAGTTTCAGCTTTTCCCCATCTAGTTATTATATATCTTATTTGTATCACTTATGTTATTTGTATATTATTTGTAAATCGAAACCCATTCCCCAATTATGTAACTGTATATTTTCAGCCTTCTGGCTGCCAAGCTCTTTCAATAAACCGTTAATTATTATTATTATTAATAGTATCACACGCGCGCACGCACGCACGCACTACATCCTTGATCACCGACTGGTCAAGACGGGTCAGACGCACCTGCCGCTGCTCAGCAGCAGCCACGTCAACTGTTATGTTGGCCCATACCAACTCCCTCCCCTGAACCCTCCTCCCCACCGGAATATCAACAAGTTCTCGCCAGAAGTTACTATTTCATTTGGGAAAGGAATGGAACCAGTGATGAATAGTGGTGAACAGTGCTTAAGTCAGTGAAAAACAACTCGGCAGTTGAGTCTGAGCCAAGCTAACCTTCACACAGTGAGGTCCCAGGTACCCAGTGATAATTCCCCTGAGACTCCACGATAGAGAGGCCTGGGACTACACCTCAGACCACGTGGTGTCCCCATGATGCTACGACACCACGTAGTGAATGAGTTGCTACAGCATCATGTGAAGTTCCTCATAACACCATCTGTGAGGGAATTACTACACCACGTGATGCCCCTCATAACACCATCTGTGAGGGAATCACTACGCCATGTGATGGCCCTCATAACACCATCTGTGAGGGAATTACTACACCACATCAGGCCCCTCATACACCATCTATGAGGGAATTACTACACCACATCAGGCCCCTTATAACATCATCTGTGAGGGAATTACTAGATCATCAGGCCCCTCATGCACCATCTGTGAGGTAACTACTACATCATCAGGCCCCTCGTAACACCATCTGTGAGGGAATTACTACACCACGTCAAGGCCCCCATAACACCACCTGTGAAGGAACTAGTACTCCATGTGATTCCCCTCATAACGCCATCTGTGAGGGAGTTACTACACTACGTGTCTGCTGTTCAACACCTCAGCTTACATGATCTACGTGTGTAAACATTAATCTGTATGTTCACTGTATGTTCCTTCACCTTTCTCTAATGAAGGCTTTTGTTAAACCACCAATGTATGTAATAAGTCATTTATGTCCAATGTATATTTTCAGCCTTCGGGCTGCAAACTTTTTCAATAAACCGTTTATTATTATTATTATTATACACACACACACACACACACACACACGGGTAAGAACCGCTGTTTTAAACCATCAGCTTTTTTTTGCTCATGTAGTCTTAAATATGTAGAAATACAGGTATTACTGTTTTAAGTAATTCTCATTCAAATCAGCAGGCAATCATAGATCAAATGTGATGTCCCCCAGGACAGGATTAGCGGAGCAGCCCATCTAGCCTCCTCAGCGATCAGTGACACATTTCTGTCTTGTGGTTTTTAGCCAGTTGGTTCTTTTAATAGAGATTGCATGCTTAAAATTTCGTATCTTCAGATAAAATCCCATAACTTAAACAAGGGGTTGAAGTTTTAACTCATTTGTGGGAGAAAATTAGGTCCAACAAATGTTTTCAGGAAGCAAGATATTTTAGAGCTGTTTGACCAATCAGCATACTTTGCTCTGAACCTAAAGTTATTGTTTTCCCATTATATTTTCCAGACCAATTCATTTAAAATTCAACTCTTGATTAGGTGAAGTGACAACGCTGACTGTCACTACCAGTCGGAAAATTCCCCACCAGTACCCTATGATAATTTTTTTTTCACCTCCTGTATGTAGGATTGTGTGTGCATATGTAAGCGAGTAAAAAAAAAATGAAGAAAATTACATGTATCTTCCCGAAATTACAGGTTGAAAAGCACTATACCTCATGATAAAAATGTTTTCTTCACTTTCTGTATCTAGGATTGTGGGAGTCTGTAAGTGAGTACTGTAAAAGAAAATGAAGAAAATTATGTGTATCTGTCCAAAATTACAAGTTGAGAAATAACACAATACAACACAACACAACACATATTGTATAACTCAAAGGATAGAGGAGCATGTAACAAGTGTGGTGATGAGTAGAAAAATGCATAATGTAAGATAACAGTTGTTTATTGCTCAAGTATTTGAAAAAATTTCAGCTTGTTTGTTATTACACACAGTACAGTACAATATTACAGTTCTTCATGTTAGTATGAATGCAATGACCAACTATCAGACAACTTTCTCAGAATACTGTAATGGTCAACTGTTATTTTGATGGTTTGTCTGATAGGTTTAGGTTGTCAGTTATAACCAGGTCCCATTATATACAGTGTCTGTTATACTGTAATTTGAAATATCTGCAAGCAGATCACATGCCTGTTCGTGCTGTCATTTGCTGTATTGAGGGCAGGAAACTACGTTTTCTTCAGTTGATCTACTGCTTTGTGTGATATTTATTTATTAAACGTTTACAAACTAACATACTGAAACATATAGTACTGTTGTACTAAATATAGTAAACACAATGATCTTTATACAATGGACCAATTTGTGCTCAATCAGTTGATACCAGAGTCAATAAAATCAGTTCTAATTAAGTTAGACACACCATTTTTTTTGCTAAATAATCCTGAATACTTTATCTAAAACTTTGGTTAAATAAATCATTATAAAAACAAAAGATCTATATGATAAGGGCATGAATGGAGCTGTGTGTTACAGCAAAGACAGTGGTATATTTCACGCTTCACAGGAAAATTTCCCCCGAGTCTAAACAATATATCTCGCAGGAGCTGTATTTATTTACGCAAACACCACTGTACTACATGTACAATATTGTTCATACTGTAAACAAAATATTGTATATTACTGTTTTACTATACTTATATACTGTACTCACCAGCAGATACTGTTCACTCAGCTGACTGTAATACATAACTGTAATCACGTCTTAACACTTGTGTTGGAGGTTGTGTGGGAGATTATTGGGTCATGTTACTAACCTGACCTGATGCAATGTCAGGTCACCCATTGTTGGGGTGAGGGATTACTGTGTCTTTTGACCTGAAGATGTCTTGAATAAATATGAAAGGTAGGAAGGTGCTTCAGTGTTTCCCACTTACTGAATGTACAGTACAGT